GACATTCAACATACCAAGTGGAATCATGATTGACAAGCTGCAAATCTAGATAACATTCTATAAACACAACATTTAAATATCAAACTGTTCAGAGATTAGCTTACATCTGACAAAACAGATTTGGCATGAGAATTTTCATAGAAATACTTGAAAGATATACAAAACACTGAAACTATAAAAATCCCCTTTCATCTCTGTCAGTCTGATGGAAATCATGTTAAACTATAGCAACAGTAAAACAAACAATGCAACTTCTAATGAAATCATAGCAGCTCATTTTTAATCAGTGATGTTTTTCTTATTAAAATTCTGCAAGAGTCTATTAGATATAATAAATTGCAATATTTGGATTTGTCAGAATCAACTTTGGGAAGGACCTGCTCACTCAAATAATTTTTGGAAAATTAACTGCTTATTTCAAGCATCTTCTTAAACTGCTGATATATAGATTATATTTGTGGAATTATTAAAAAAATGTGATTGCACGTCTTATTTTTAATGTTTTTATTGAATGTTTCAAGGTTTTGCATTATTTTTCATAAAAAAATTAAAATATTGAGACTTTTTATTAATAACTAAGGATACAGTTTTTTATCATTTAAACATTTTTCAGATTTTTCAGTGTAAATTTTCCCACATATATAAGTCGTATATGTTAGAATTTTTTAGATGTGGAATTATTGTTTTATATTTTTCTATTTGAATCAGCAAGCTAATCTTTCTTAACAACCGAGATAAGTTTTGACCATTTAACCTTCTTGATTTCTTTTAACCCTTTTATTCTTTTGCCTCCTTTGGCCATTATATTTTTTGTTCTTCTTTTGGACATTTTATTATTTTGCCTATTATATTTATGATCTTCTTTCAGACATTTTATTCTTTTGCCTTCTTTGTCATATAAAACAGAATGAGAACAATCTGTATCATGGAATGGATAAAGATTTCAGTTCAAAATTCCAAGTACAACAAAAAATACTAAAAGAAGGTCAGAGGGCACAAGTACTAAAGCAATGTTTGTATTGCAACAAAGAATGCCAGGTTTAAATAACAGAGCACAAATTTTTCCATTATTAAAAAAATCAAATCAAACAGATTTTCAATATTCGTAAATAATCAGTGAATAGCAGTAAATAGTAGTCTAAAAGTTTTAGCAATATTTAACCCTTGTGCCTGCAAAAAACTGTCAAAAGGATGTTCATTCCTGTGACAACACTTTTAATGTATACACATTTGTCTCCTTTGGCAATATTTATTTACAAGGTTATAAAAAATATGTGAACCAAATACAATGCAATATTTATTATTAACCATTCATAAAGAAAAGCATTTGAAAAACCTTTTTGTTCAAAAATTTATAAAATATTACAAAATGTGTTAACCAACTATATTTTATTTTTGAAAAGTTTTAGATCATTGCTAATTTAAAAAAAAACTTTCTAGAAAATCTGCTGACAGATTAAATAAGCTATCTAATAAATAAATAAATAGTATTTAATATTTTTGTTTTCAATTCTGAGGAATAAGGAAAATGTTTAAAGTTACTTTTATATGTTTGGGTCTTATTAAAATTCTAATCATCACTGTTTAAAACAATAAACATTACCAAGGGCATCAAAAGTGTAGACAGCAATAACGCTGTCAAGGGAAAACCGTCCTTTTGACACACCGGCATGAAGATTAAACATTGCCATATTTTCAGTCTTTGTATACAACAGATCATTGGTAAAAAATGGTTTAAAGAATATTGTTTTTCATCTAATAGAAGCAACAAAAGAAGTGGATAGCACATGTAACTGGAAGAGATGGTAAGAATATAATCAAGCTGTTAAATTTCTACACTATCAAAAACAAAAGGTTTGGAAGGAAATTCCCATCAGTACTAGAAAGAACTATAATATTTAGCTGACTTGAGAGGTTTAATTTCCAGAAAAATGGTTCCCAGAAAAAGATTTTATAAGTTTTGGTTGATAGTAACACTAACTGCTCAGTCAATAAATGCTGAATGCTTCCTGTATGGAAACTGATAGTTTTATCATTACAATATCTGGATTATTTTTAATCTCTTAGTGGATATATTTAAGCTAGTCAGTTGATGGTTAGATATGTGTGATCATGTTTCTTCTAGATTTTTTTGAATTAACTTTTTCATTTTTAGATGTAGCCTTGAAGAATAATCCAAATTTCTTTCCCAGGACAAATTAATTATACATTTTGTCTTGCAGATTGTAAGAAAATGTCGTAGTTGTCTTTGTCTAGGAATCAATTCCCATACCTTATAGATTTTAAAGGCTGATAAACTCAAGAAGAATTAAGAACCTTCCTTTTGGGGTTTTAGTTAAAGCAGATAAAGTCATCAATTGAGTAAAGAGGATAAAAAAGTTGAAAAAGTTCATTGAATTTTTAAATTAAACTCTGTTTACATTCTGTGACTTGGAGATAAAATCATTTGCATCCAAAAATACAGTGAACTCAATCTGCACTTGTTGATGGAAGCAATGATTTTTTTTTTCTTAAGGGAATCACAGGTTTTGAATTTAACAAACATAAATACAGATATTTTAGTTTTGTTTGAAATATCTTGCTTCCTGATTCTTTTTATAAATCTTCACCAATATGTAATGAATTGCAAATTTCATTTAATCAAGCGATAAAAGTGAATTGCTTTATTATCATTGCTAACTTCACTTCACCACAAATCAATTGTGAACAATGTTGCATTTGAAACTTTAAATAACTTACATATCAACTTTTTGAATCTTGCTATGCATAGAATAAAGTTGTTATATTGATATCAAAAGCCAATCAAATTTAATTTTAACCATTTGTTAAGAATTTTTTTTTTTATTCTATGAAAATGGTTCTGAAAAGTTCAACACATTACCAAAATCTGAGCAAATGACAAAATCATCAATTTTTTTTCACAACCTTGTATATTATAAGATTGCAAAAGATATTTTAAATGAAGAATATATGACAATTCAGGTCACAAGGAAAGGCATGATACAGGATGTAATAAAGTTTGGGGACATACTTCAGCTCAAATATGGCATGAAATAGTAGTAGTAGTAGTATAGCAGGCCACTCGTATTTGAGAATACTTGTCTACTAGAACGGCCAGTCAATCCCTATTGCAGACACTTGCTCAGGTGCATTTGTGTTGTTTGTTCAACACACACAGAGCCCACCTATGGTTTATACTGCAACTATGCTGAGCCAACCTTAGTTACAGTTTTTGGGAAAGAGCGTGTTATCTAGAGTGATCAACAATTTGAACAAGGTCAGTACACTCAAGCCCTCAGCCACAGTGACTTGTGACTTCATGCTAGCACAACTAACGATGGTACCCAATGGTTCCATTTACCCAGTTTCACTCACAAGGCTTTGGTCAACTTGTGGTATTGCTTTCAGACACTTTCCAAAGGTGCCGCATGCTGGGATCAACCCCTTCAGTTCGATAATAGCAAAAAGTCTCCTTTCTGACAAATCGACCCTGGTGAGATTTGAACCCGGGTCTTGTGGTCAGAATGCAAATGTTCTAATCACTTGGCCACATGACCATAACAGAGTGAAATACATTCACTATATATATATATATATATATATATATATATACACACACACACACACACACTCAGAACAAGAGGCATCAATTTCTTGTCTTCTATTGCTTTTTTACAGTAATTACTCATAGTCAATTGTCCTTTTTGTGTTATTTTTTCTCCATCCATATCTATGGACCAAATACATTATTGAATACTTTCTTCAGTTTCTCTTGTCTTTATGTAGCTGTAAGTGTTACATTCTCCAAGACTTTCTTCATCATGCAGCTCCCAAATTTTAGCTGTCTCTCATTGTTGTCAACAGTTCTTTGTGGTTTCTAACTCAATTAAATCATTCTCAGTTTTAAGATGCTCTCTCTATCATATTCTCAGTGTTCATCATTAAAACTATGTCCCAGTCTCTTCTTGATTTGCAATAAAACTATCCACTGTTCATTAACATTTAGCACAAAAGACATTACATTGAAGGCCAGTATTCATTTCTTTGTTTGTTATTGATATTCTTCAATCTGTTAATACCTTATTCAATTTCTGAAATGTATCTTTTGCTAAGCACCTTTGAATTACTTTGTCACACTTTCTCTTGTCTGTTACTACAGTAAATAGACATATGAATTCTTGCCCTTGTTTAATTTTGATATTTCCAATGTGTAACTCACACCTTGGGCAATCCTTTTTGCTCACTGCTATTCTTACATTTAATAATTATCATATATATTCAAGTATAGTGCAAGTTTTTATCATCAGACCTTCATGCAAAAATAAGAAGTTGCATCATACACAGGTAATCTTTTGAAGAGTTTAATACTTATTCATTGTGGATGACCTGTTGCATTATACACAGCAGTCAGTGAATTAAATTTTTTATGAATCTGACCTTTTCTTCTCGGGATCTGGTAACTCCCATTGCAATGGAAAATAAATTGTCTTAAGCCAGACCATGTAAACAATTTTGAATTCTATCAAGGCTAGAAAAATAAGGATTTAGCAACTTCAGCTTAGATATTGCAACAATATTTTATTTTTATGCTAATCTGACTCTGGTAAGGATAAAGCATGGCAAAAGGATTCAGTTACTTTCTGGAGTGATAGAATGAGCTGATCATTTCTCCAGAAGCTTTAGCAATGGATCATATATACAAGTCATATATATGAGTTCAAGTGGAGTGAACTTGAGACCCAATGAACATTCAAAGCATGGTGCCCCATTAAGAGTGCAACTGTTAATTGTGACTGGAGAAATGTCAGTCAAATTGACAATGATGAAATGATGCTAGCTCCGATTTTGAGCTATTAGAAGTTAGAAGCCAGGTTTTTGTCTATTAAGCTGTTGGTGTTAGATCAGAGGATAATTGAAACTGCAGATGGTGAGGCTTTTGCAAATGGTGATTTTGTGAATAGTTTGTTTCCAGCTACTGTATTTTGAATATTTTTTTCCAGGGCTTTGCTGTTCCCAGATGACATGAAGCTTGAAGTTGAACCTTGGGCTGATACCGGAGATCTTAATGATGAAGAACTGCATCAGGTCAGTTAAAGTTTTTTCTTCTTGGCTTTGCTTAAATTCCTAACTACCCAAATACAACAAAAATGAGTACTGTCTTTGTATCTGACTTCTAAGGCCTGATTCTTCTGTTTCTATTTATTTAATAATGAATTTAAAATAACTTTTTTTTTTCAAGTATTTGGAAATTGTTGTAGAGATTTATAAAAAGAATAAATGGTTAGAAAATTACACTTCCAGTGGATTCAGGTTCAAATCCCGCTGTGGTCAATTAGTTAAGAAACTGACATTTTCATAATATCAGCCTGAGGGAATGATCTCAGCATGAGTGAGTATTGTCAGTTAAGTAGATATAATTTTCTTGGCTACATCAAAGCATTTTTAATGCTAAAATTTTATACACACACACACACACACACACACACACACACACACATATATATATATATATATATATATATGTATGTATGTATGTATTTGGGCAGCAACATTTTTTCAAGATTCTTTCACTGAAAATGGCCAACGAGGAAGATTTAATTAATCTTTTACTGAGTTTTTCCAGCATTCTAAAATTTTTCCATTTTTCAGGAGTTAAAGAATATAGAAATTTGCCATAGTTATTACTGTTGTGAGGGTTTTTAGTTTGTTCTATAGCCATTATCAAGGATGTTGTTTTTGGATGGTGAATTTTCATGTGTTAACTTCTGCTTAGTAATTTAGCTGTGTGGAGTACTTCCAGAGTAGTGTATGCTGTTTCAGTAATCATGTGTTATGTGTGACCAGAAGACCTAGGCTTCACTTTTATTTTTAGAAAACCTTTAACATGCCATCTTCACTACTAAACAGTATAAGACTGATAGCAGGGGAATGGTATTTAATCATTAATGCTCTCCCTAATGATAATTTGTTTATGATTATGTGATTTGAAAAGAATTTTTGTGTTAAAGACAACATTCTTGATAATGGCTATAGAACTAATTTTTAATATATATATATATATATATAATTATTTTTTATAAAAAAATTATAACATAAGTATGTTATAAAATCACTACAAAAATAGCCATTTTGTTTCAACACACTCGGTGTCTTATCAAGTGATGATGTTGAAAAGAAAATAAATGGTTTTAAAAGTTTCAGATTAATTAACGATCCTACACTAGGGGGAAACATTGTTACAAAAGCTAGAATAACCAATCAAAAACGAAGTATAGAAAGATTCAAAAGCTTGACAACAAAATCCTGCTATAATAGCTATTCAGATCTTTAAATACGTGTAATATTAAAAATAATTTATACTAACTAATAATTATAAAATTATATGATAAAATTTAATATTAAAATTAAAAACTGGCAATTTTAAAATCCAAATTTAATCACTATTAAGTTTAAAAACTACAAAATTATTGAGAAAAAAAAAATATATATGTTTATTCAATTCATTTCTTCATTGAAATTACGTTCGACAAGACAAGACGCTACAATACATCCGGTCATTTGACAATACACATATATATATTTTTTTTTTTTCCCTTTATTTTTTTTTTTTATTTTAAAGTTAGTGAATATGGTCTTAAACTCACGCGTGGTTGGTATAAAAACACAATCAGATTTGGAATTCATTCCGTATATACCAATTATATACTTTGGTATATATATATATATATATATCATATATATATAATGATATATATATATATATATATTTTAATGAATGAATGAAATGGCCTGTTGTATGATTCAAGCATTTGATCTTTATATCATTTATATATTGATATATATATATATATATATATATATATATATATATATATATATATATATATATATATATATAATATAGACATTTCTGTGAAGAACATTTGAGAATTCTAATCTTACAAAAATTTTGAAGTACTGGTTGTCAGTTTCTTGTCTACCTTGCATTTTTAAAGTATCCTAATCAGCTGGTCATTCACTTCTGGGCTTGATTTCGAGCACATATCAAAATGTGTAAACAGCTTTTGAACAATACGGTCAGTTTAATTGCTTTGTACTACACAAATTATTTTTACCACTTCAGCAGTTCTGTCGCCTTGTTGGAAACAATGACTCAAATTTTCCTGGAAAAAAATGTTACATTTGAATAATATAATGTTGCATGTAATAATATATAGTGTTATATAAAATAATGTTATAATGTATATGATAATAATGATAGAATACATTATAATAATTAGGTATATGGTTATATCGATAGACCATGGAGTTGAATGCCTCAGCATTGCATAGTTCATTACCTCTCAGAGTTTCAAGGGAAAGGGACTTGTTGTGTAAAAAGACTTACCATGAAACATTTCATCTTTTGTGAAAACTGCACCCAGCAATATAAAAATTCAAAATTAACTACAACTGAAACAATCAAATAAACCATGGCATTAGATAATCCTAAAGGAGTTGCAATTCTATTACAAAATATTATAATAATTATATAATAATGTTATAATACATATTATAATAATAATAATAATAAAATATGTATAACATTAATAGGTTGTGTCATTGTTAGTTTTCAGATGATTACATCAAAATAATCTTTGGAGCAAAAATCTGTAAAAAAAAAAAAAAAATGAGAGTTCTTTTGATACAGCCACCCAGACAAATAGAAAGTGCAAAACTCAGTAGAAAAATTTATTTTCAACCCTGTCTATGATATATGTTCAAAAAAATTTGATCAGTTTAAACCTTTTTTTTTTCCTTTTACCAAAGCGTTTTTTGTTGTATACTCCTTCTGGAGAGTTCTTTTGGTTGATGGTGTCAATTACACAACAAAGCTGCATTCTTCTCTCTTGGCCCATCTTCTCCGGGTCAGGTGTCAAAATGTTTTTGGAGTCCGGAGATGAAAGAGACATCAACTAAGAAAATTTGAAAACTTATCTATTTTATTAAACATGTTGACATGTACATTTTTAACTAGCCAGTGTGGTCTCTCTATCACCAAAGGAGAAAGTTCCCTGAGTCACCAAAATCCACATCTGCTGTGTATGATGTGTAAAAACTAAACTTCGAAAATTCACTATCTCTCTAACATTCCTATATCCAGCTCAGCCAATCAAAATTGACAATCCTATTTTGTCTACCATCTGACCTTAAAGGTCAGCCTCAGAATATTTGAGCCAAAATACACTACCACTAAAAAAATAATAGTCTGAAACTTTTTTTTAACATTTTGTTGAATTCTTGATTTGGAAAAAAAATTGTTAAATTCTAACATCTTTGACAAATAAAGAAATATATGGTAAGATTTTAGCCTTAATTCCCACTAAGAAATTTGTTCAAATCATTTTTAAATGGTAAAACCAATATAAATTATAACAAAACTATTCTTATCTTTTATTTTGACTTCTATTGCACCAGTATATCCCTTGGATTTATGAGATTCACTTTGTAAGAACTAATAAGATGTCTTTGCTATGTACAAATGCTGAATACAAATTGCAAACATTTAACTTTATGCAATGAAAATATTACATCAAAATTCAACCAATAACATCAGGCTGTGAATTTATTGATCTACCTTCATATAGAAATGAAAACTTTCTGAAAAAGATAAAGTTAATATGATATTGACCAGGAAGTGTTAAATAATACTAAATACAGAATTCATTTTCTTAAATATAATTTTGAAGTCATTGAAAGACTTGTGCATCTTTTAGTAAAATTCTGATGGCAGAAAATAATGTTTATAATATTTCTCAATAAGAGTTATTAGTTTCCTATATTCAATATAATAATCCTCCTAAATTCTCTTAAAAAAAAAAAGCTAAGGTTGAAGATTTTCTCTTGAGAAGCTAATGTTGGCCAGTTGTGGGGGGGAATTGCATGCATTAATTCCTTTCCTAATGTAAAGGTTTGCCTAATGCTATATGATATTGGGTCAGTAGGCAAAAAGGTGATATCTTTAAAACAAAAACTAAAACAATGAATGCTTTAGTAACTAGGCCAACTGACTATGAATAAAGGATGGCGTGCAAAAAAGGATAACTTTATCAAAAACTTCTGCATAAAACCCTGGAGAGACCAAATGTACATGTGGATAATATCTTTGTGCATTTGAGCCTGGCAGATGCCTTTTTGTTTGGTCCAGTCTGTTGTTCCATTAATCTATCATTTGAAAGGATTCAAGGGTAGAAAATAACAATTCTCCAGTGCCAAAAACAGCCATAACTGCTGGCATTTTTTCTAAGACATCAGGTGGGGGATAAATTTTCTCTCTTGGTATGAATACCCTGCAATTCAGATATAAACCAGAGAAAAAATATTGAACATAGACAAACTCATGTGAGTATATGAGAAAATCTCTCTCTCTCTCTCTCTCTCTATATATATATATATATATATATATATATATATAAGGATTTATACAAAGTTTGTACTAATTGATGGATCTGTTAATCTTTCAATTTATACAGCTTTTTCCAAGTTTTAACAGATCATTCATGCTTTCCTCAAGATCATTCCATGAATAAAGAACATACATTATTCTTTATCAATTTTTTTCTTTCTGGGTTCATTCTTAAATTTTTATTTTTCATTTTATGACCTTTTGATAAAAAACATTGCGTCTCTTTTATGACCATCTGTTATGAAAAAAAAAATATTATACAATTATTTTTAACTGACCCCGAGGCATATTGGCATCCTGAAATTTAATAAGTCCTAGATAGTTATCATGAATATTTTATTATGTTGATAATATCGGTCGTTAGACATAATTCCCTCTTTTTTTAAAGAACACTCAGTCTTCTCCACTTCTTTAACTAATAAGCCATATATATGCTGTTGGTTTCATAATACTGTGCGATGTCATTCATGTAGATGGGATTGGATCTGCTGGTCCAGTTAAACATAACCTCTAACTACTATTTGCACCCATTTCTGTATGCCATGTTCCCCAGTAAGTGATTGGCTATTCCAGCAGTATACTTCTATATATTAATGGATCCAGTTCTTCCATAGATTGATTTGAGAAGTATTCTGGTAGC